TATGTCTGGACGCGGAAAGCAGGGCGGCAAGGCGCGCGCCAAGGCCAAGACGCGCTCCTCGCGGGCCGGGCTGCAGTTCCCCGTGGGCCGCGTGCACCGCCTGCTGCGCAAGGGCAACTACGCGGAGCGGGTCGGGGCGGGCGCGCCCGTGTACCTGGCGGCCGTGCTGGAGTACCTGACGGCCGAGATCCTGGAGCTGGCGGGCAACGCGGCCCGCGACAACAAGAAGACGCGCATCATCCCGCGCCACCTGCAGCTGGCCATCCGCAACGACGAGGAGCTCAACAAGCTGCTGGGCAAGGTCACCATCGCGCAGGGCGGCGTCCTGCCCAACATCCAGGCCGTGCTGCTGCCCAAGAAAACCGAGAGCCACCACAAGGCCAAGTAAGCAAGAGGTTTGAAAACAAGTAAACAAAGGCTCTTTTCAGAGCCACTGCTATAGTCACTGAAAAGATAGCACTACTTCATTGCATCTTTAATTAATCACCTTTACCTCTTGGTTCAGTAGAATTGTGACACACAGTATGCTGTCAAGTTAGATTTCACTCTTAGCTGCCTCGCCTCGTCCACATTTCAGAAAAGGCATTTAGGAGCCTTTGCAAACAAGATAAGTTGCCACTCTATATTTGTCCTAAGCAGGCTATCATTCCAAGGTCATATTGGATCTAGAAGGTCATTAAGTTGATCTGGAGGTGGTCACCCAGGTCCACACTGGAAATTAGTTGTAGCCTAATGACAGGTTTCATCAAATCTAAGCATATGGTGTGTGTCAGCAGGGAGGTAGCAAATCTTGAATCTTTAACAAATAGTTGCCTTTAATGTGTTTGCTAAAAGCATTTGACTAATTCATATTACTACTTGACAGTACATGTATTACCACATTGGCATACTAGGTGTCCACATGTCATAACAATGACTACTGGATGCTACTAAGTGGATTCCAAGAGCAGTGATGGTGGAGACCTACAGTTTGAAAAATATGAACAAACTGAAAATGCCTGAGGCTCTTTTGAGATTAGAGAGGTCGCAGATTCTGGTAAGTTTTTCTTTTCTATACCAGCATAGCAAGGTCCTTTTATTCTAGGCCTTGGAAAGGATTGGAGCATTTATGCCACTTAGCAGTCTGCCATTTCAAAAAATGCAGTCACAATGACTATTTTTTATCTGTTTTCTATTAAATTATAATGCACTTATGCTTCCAACAAATATTTACTTCCCCCTTAGGTACCATGTGTTAATACATTAGTAAGACACTGCTTGTTCTAAAGAAACTCAGTCTAATGGGGAGTAACACAAAAGCAAAGCATAATGTAGCATTGTATTGGGGGAGCTCAGAGGAGGAGTCAGATCTGTGAGCGGTAACATCTGGGCTGATGATGAAAGGAAGTTGGGAACTGGAGGAAAGTATAGGAATCCAGTGCAGAATGAGCAGCACCAGGCCCAGGGCTTCTGATATGGCAGGAGAATGACAAGAAGTTGGACATTGGCCCTAAGGCAGAGGTCAAAAGAGGTGAGGAGCCAAAGGGGATCTGTAGGCCACTCCTTTGCTTTAAATACTTTTATATACTAATGACTCCCAAATCTTTTAATTTTATTTCAATCCCTTCACCCTTTTCACCCAGGCCCCCACCCAGAGACAGCTATCAGTCTCTTCTCTGTATCTGTGAATCTTTTTCTATTTTGTTTGTTAATTTATTTTGTTCATTAGATTCCACATATAAGTGAAATCATTTGGTATTTGTCTTCCTCTGACTGGCTTATTTCACTTAGCGTAAGACTCTCAAAAAATATGGAACCCTTCACAACGTCATCCGAACGTCATCCTTGCCCAGGGGCCATGCTAATCTCTGTATCATTCCAATTTCAGTATATGTGCTGCTGAAGTGAGCATAACAACTCCCAAATCTTTATGTCCATCCAGACTTATCTCCTGAGTTCAGACATGCATATTCACCTACGACTTTCTGATATTTTTGTAGATTTCCAGTAAACAAAATGAATATTCCAGGCTGATCATTCTTACAACTTGCCCCGTGACTCTTACCTTAGTACTTGGATCACCATCTGCCCATTAGCATGAGCCAAATGGTCTGGTGTTGCTGAATGTTCATTTCTTTGTGCCATTCCTAGAGCTAAATTCAATTCCTTGCATGGGTTGATGAAAGCATGTTTAAAGTCCAGAAGGAACTTAGGTGTAAGGCTGCCAGACCATTGTAGTTCAGCATATGGAATGTTCTGAGAGACATGGAGTGTCCGTGTCCACATAATTTGAAATGCTCACATAACTTGAACTACTCACTGCCCCTGAATAAAATCTTCATATAATAAGAACTGAAAGGTTAATTTGGAGAGTTAGTTATATTGACTGCACATTTCCTGGAGAGGGTGCCCTTCCCAGCCAGCAAGAGTATTGGTCAGTATAAACAGGCCATCTCTATTGTGGGCCCTTCCTGACTGAAAGGCCTCAGGTGGGCTGGGAGGTATCATTGCCCTAAGTAGTCTCACTGTGGATTCAACCTCAGGGAGGTCACCAGGATGTTAGGCAATTGGCTTCCAGGGCTCAGCAACCAGGTCTTCAAAGCATGGTGCCTGTGGACTACTGCTCACACAGATCTGCACTACCAGGCTCCGGGAAGTTGGCAAAGAAAAGACAGACGGCTAATATCAAATCTTGGAATGGGTGTGAAAAAAACATTTTAGGGCTTTATCATATAGGGTTACAAGGTCATACTCCTGAACAACTGAGAAACACAACTCTCATAACAAAGATCCATCTGAATAATAGCCCATTTTCTTGGTAGACAGAGCTAGTTTCAGCACAGTTCGGCCTGTTTTGTGGAGCAGTAAAAGAGAGATTTAGTATCAGTAAGAAAAACTGAGATCTGCCCACTAAGTGCTAGATGCTAGGCAAAACACCAACATTGCCTGACTTAACCTAGATGTGCGCTCCCTCTGCCTGGGGACGTGGAGAGTTCAAATCAGTCAGCTCTTCATGGGACAATTAGAACATGGAAGGTGCTCTTCTGTGTTTTGGAGACACCAGAGAACAAAGTCCATCAAAATTCTGCTGCCAGAATGTCAATATCCAGAGTGGGGAAGGGAAATGTCAGTATCTATGCTCTGAACCCCATGTGAGCGGTGGGTACAGCTCCTTTCCTGTGGATGGGTCCCTTCTCTCTAGCTCCTTACAGGCGAATAACCCAAGGGTCCACATGGCAACTACCTCTGCGGAGACATTGTTGCCTTTTAAACTGCTGTTAAGCAACTCAGGTTTCCCTAAATAGGTAAGTAAACATTGCACAAGAGGCCTTGCGATGCGAATTTCTACACCTAATAAGCTTGAGGAAAATGATAGCCATTGTTCTGGAGGGAACCCCAGTACCGTTCCCCATTCCAGTCAATTGTGCGCTAAGCTTGAGCTTTTAACACCTACGCTAGGAGTGTAACAGCCCCCGTCAGGGTGGATGAAAGTGGCTCTGAAAAGAGCCTTTGGGTTCAAGGTTCCGCCCCCTAAGAGAGTTTACGCCCTCTCCCCGCGGATGCGGCGCGCGAGCTGGATGTCCTTGGGCATGATGGTGACGCGCTTGGCGTGGATGGCGCACAGGTTGGTGTCCTCGAAGAGCCCCACCAGGTAGGCCTCGCACGCCTCCTGCAGCGCCATGACGGCCGAGCTCTGGAAGCGCAGGTCGGTCTTGAAGTCCTGCGCGATCTCGCGCACCAGGCGCTGGAAGGGCAGCTTGCGGATCAGCAGCTCCGTGGACTTCTGGTAGCGGCGGATCTCGCGCAGCGCCAC